GAATTTTGTTTGTTCCAGAAAACGAAGAGAAGGCATTAAAACATCTGATCCTAAGGTATGTGAATGACTGGTTAACAACCATGCATCCCCAAAGAGACAAGTTAACCAAGTTAACCCAAATGATCTCTAATTGAGGGATCTGCCAGGACAACTCATGGGGAAGACGGGGAATGGAGATTCTCTTTTGGTACTCTTTCCCTACACCAAGCAAACATATTACTAAATACTTCTAAAAAAAACAATGCTGAACTTTCAAGATTCAGTACTAAATATCCCAGTGGGAGAAAAAAACTATCCATAGTTTTTCAAAGTGGAGTCTGCCTAACCTAGAAAGTCAAGAATTCTTGACATGAGGAGATGTCAAGAATCTAAGGGTCCTATGAGACCTTGTGTTGTTTTTATATGATATTCTAAAAATACCACCACATGGATTTCAGGGATCCAGTTTGGGTTTACCATCATGCAGGTACAAAGCAACCACTTGTTTTTCGTTTCTCTTTTTTATTTGCTTCAAGTAACCATTTAAATGGTTACATTCAACTTTTAATGCAGTAGTCTCATACTGAAATTCTTAGTTGTATACTCCGGATAATGTAAGAAATTTCCTCCTTTAAAGGGCATCCATGTATAACCCAAGGTTTAAAAATGCCAAGCTAACTGCTAAAGTGATGCTCCTAAGTTCCACCTTTTTCAGTTATCATAGCTCAACTTATTGGTACAGCCTAACACAAAAGTCTTTGCCTTGATTTTCCTAAGCTGAACTTTCAAGGGGATTTTTCTGAAATATTAAGGGAAAAGAAAAAAAAAAAAAAAACTATAGAGAATGCATGCAATTTAACAATATGGCCTAGAAAGTACACAGTTTTGATCCCAGGTTGTCCTATAAACACACAGGCACATTTACATACACACTTTCTCTAATCAGCAAATATCTGAGTGCCTTCTATATACTGAGGATAGAGCAAAGACTGGCACCTCATGCACGTTTCAGATGTCTACAGCACAAACTTAATTAACAGACTCCACTAAGACAAACCTCCTAATCCAATCTATTCAGATCCAATCCTTTCAGTTCTGACTTCTAAAACATCCTCTCTCAACTGACTAAAAAAAAGACCTCACTCTTCAGATGAAACCACTACCATGAATAAACTCCTGGGCTATGTAGGGCCTCATTTAAAATATCAATATGATAAAGAACACTCATCAAATAAAGGCTACATATAGACCAAGTTTCAAAAGATGCTTGCTTTTGTTTTTATAAAAGTCCTTCATCCTGGCGTGGTGGCTCATGCCTGTAATCCCAACACTTTGGGAGGCCAAGGTGGGCAGATCACTTGAGGTCAAGAGTTCAAGATCAGCTTGGCCAACACAGACATCTCCACTAAAAATAAAAAAAATTAGCCAGGGATGGTGGCATGTGCCTGTATTCCCAGCTACTCGGGAGGCTGAGGCATGAGAATTGTTTGAATCCAGGAGGCGGAGGTTGCAGTGAACTGACATCCTACCACTGCACTCCAGCCTAGGTGAAAGAGCAAGATTAAAACAAAAAAAAAAAAAAAAAAAGTAAATAATAAAGTATATGGGAGGATGTACATGGGTTATATGCAAATACTATGCCATTTTATAGAAGAGACTTGAGCATCTGAAAATCTGGGTATCCTGGGGGGGAATCTTGGAACCAATCCCCCACAGATACTGAGGGACAACTGTATTACCTAGAAAATCAATAAAAACAGCAGACTCTTAGAACAAATTGGAAAAAATGTTATAATACCATCTGGTAATGGAAGCAACAAGTTGTAATGGAGACTACCATCTGTTACATATTCATCTATAAGGAAAAAAAAAACAGCAAATATATTAAAGAAAGGACACTTTAGTAACAGTGAATTTGCTTTACTAAATTCTAAAGGGAAAATGTCAGTCAGGCACAGTGGCTCACACCTGTAATCCCAGTACTTTGGCAGGACAAGGTGAGAGGATCATTTGAGCCCAAGAGTTTGGGACCAGCCTGGGTAACATAGTGAGACTCCATATTTATTTTAAAAGATGGCACAGTGGCTCATGCCTGTAATCCCAGCACTTTGGGAGGCTGAAGCATGAGGACTGATTGTGCTCAGGAGTTTGAGACCAGCCTGAGCAACATAACGACTTCCCATCTTTATTAAAAAAAAAATTTAATTAGCTGGGCATGGTGGCACACACCTGCAGTCCCAGCTCAAGAGGCTGAAGTAGGAAGATAGCTTAAGCCAGGAGTTTGAGCCCACAGTGAGTTATGATGGCACCACTGCACACTGGGTGACAGAGTGAGACCCTGTCTCAAAAAAATAACAAAGGAAAAATGTCAGAAAACAATAAAACAGTTGAAGTTCAGAAAGACAGATTCAGAAGGATTATGAATCAAAAAATAATAGGTCTAAAACACAGTGAAAGTTTTAAACATAATATTAACCCCTTAGAAGAATCATCTTATCTAGGAAAGCTTTAGGAAGAACAAGTTTATCTAACTAAGCCAAGGGCTGCACAGAGATTTAAAATACACAACAAGGGTATAAAAACAGAAACTAGAGTTATTAGCCAGAGAAGAGGGGATAGATCAAGTAAACTGCAAAGCTGGAATTAGGCAAAAATCAAGACACCTATGAGAAAAAAATATACTGGAAAATTTTTTGTAAATGCATATGAAAGCAGCCATCCTTA